TTATTTTCTCTGGCTGTGTAATTTGATTCCTTTCTGTTTCTTTTGTGTGTCTACTGTAGGTTTTTACTTATATAAATCCTATTATAATTATAGCAGTCTACTTTGGTATCATAACAGCTTAACTTTGCATTAAAAATTCTACACTTTTGGCCAGGCGTGATGGCTCATGCCTCTAATCCCAGCACTTTCGGAGGCCGAGGTGGATGGATCACGAGGTTAGGAGATTGAGGCCATCCTGGCCAACATGGTGAAACCTCATCTCTACCAAAAATACAAAAATTAGCTGGGTATGGTAGCACATCTGTAATCCCAGCTACTTGGGAAGCTGAGGCACAAGAATCACTTGAACCTAGGAGGCAAAGATTGAAGTGAGCCAAGATCATGCCACTGCACTCTAGCCTGGTGACAGAGCAAGACTCCATCTCAAAAAAAAAAAAAAGTTCTACACTTTTATATCCCCTCCCTTTTATGTTTTTGATGTTACAATTTATATGTTTTAACATTGTGTATACACATATTATTGTAGCTATAATTATCTTTAATATTTTTGTCTTTTTGTGCATTAGGGTTATAAGTGATTCACACTCTTTCTTCCAATTTAGAATATTCTGAATTTGATTATATGCATATTTTTTCAGTGAGTTTTATACTTTCACATGTTTTCATGTTACTAACTAGCATCCTTTCATCTTGAAAAACTCTTAAGCATTTCTTTTAAGGCAATCTAGGAGTGATTAATTATGTCAGGTTTTGCATGTCTGATAAATCTTTTATTTTCCTTTAATTTTTGAAATACAGCTTTTCCAGACAAAGTATTCTTAGACATATTTTTCTTTAAGAACTTTGAATATACAGATGACCCTGAACAATGTGGGAGTCGGGGTACCAACACCCCATGGAGTTGCAAATCTGCACATAGCTTTTTATGCCCCCCAAAACTAAAGACTAATAGTCTACTGTTGACTAGGGGCCTTACTAATAATATTAAGAGTTGATTGATACATATTTTATACTATATATATTATTTTCTGCATTTTTTTAATATCCCTTTTTATTGTACAGTTCTGTGAGTTTTGACCAAGGCATACCATTGTGTAACCACCACAATAATCAAGATATAGAACAATTCCACCATTCTAAAAACTCCCCCCACACCCACCAGGAAGTTTTGCCCCTTTGTAATCAACCCGTCCTCTACTCCCAGCTCCATATGTGTAACTCTGTAAGAAACTGCCAAGTGATTTCCAAAGTGGCTGTACCATTCACCCAGTGTACGAGAGTCCTAGTTGTCCCACATTCTGGCTGGCATTTGGCAGGTATTTTTCAGTGGTAGCCATGAAACAAATACATGGTTTATGTCAGTGTTGTCATAATTTGCATTTCCCAAGTGTCTAATGATGTTGAACATGTTTTTGTAAGCTTATTTGCCTTCTGTAAGTCATTTTTGATGATGTGTTCATATCTTTTGCATATTTCTTATTGGATTATTTATTAACACTGAGTTTTGAAAAGTCTTTATGCATACTAGATACAAACCCTTTATCAGATAAGAAATTCACAAATATTTCTCTGTCTGTGACTTGAATTTTCATTCTCTTATCAGTGTCTTTTAAAGAGTAGTTCCTATTTTTATAAACTCCAATTTATCAAGGTTTTTAAATTTTTGTTTTATTTTACTTTAAGTTCTGGGGTATATGGGCTGATCTTGCAGGTATACACATGCTATAGTAGTTTGCTGCCTCCATTCCCCATCACCTATATTAGGTATTCTCCTAATGTTATCCCTCTCCAATCTCCCCACCCCCTGCTGTTGCTTCCCTAGCCCTCCACCCTCAATAGACCCTAGTGTGTGATGCTCCCCTCCCTGTGTCCATGTATTCTCCTTGTTCAACACCCACTTGTAAGTGAGAACATGCGGTGTTTGGTTTCCTGTTCTTGTGTCAGTTTGCTGAGAATGATGGTTTCCAGATTCATCCATGTCCCTATGAAGGACATGAACTCATCATTTTTTATGGCTGCATAGTATTCCATGGTGTATATGTGCCACATTTCCTTTATCCAGTCTATCATTGATGGGCATTTGGGCTGGTTCCAAGTCTTCACTATTGTAAACAGTGCTGAAATGAACATATGTATGCATGCGCCTTTATAACAGAATGATTTCTAATCCTTTGGGCATATACCCAGTAATGGGATTGCTGGGTCAAATGGAATTTCTATTTCTAGATCCTTGAGGAATCACCACACCGTCTTCCACAATGGTTGAGCTAATTTACACTCTCACCAACAGTGTGAAAGTGTTCCTATTTCTCCACATCCTCTCCAGGGTCTGTTGTCTCTAGATTTCTTAATGATCACCATTCTAATTGGCGTGAGATGGTATCTCAGTGTGGTTTTGATTTGCATTTCTCTAATGACATGCTGGTTTTGGTGAGAAAATAATTTCAACTATGGGTGGGTATAAAGGCATTGGCTAGGTGAGGTGTAGTGTTTCTGGCTTGGTGAGCATGCAACAGCTTACATTTCCCATGCAGCTCTGTCAGATGAAGTTAGCATCAGTGAAAATTGCAGTGTCCTCAGTCGTCAAGGCTAGTGGTGTCTGCAATGGCTGTGAGGGTTGTTAGGGTATTCAGTTACAAAGGCTGCTGGGATCCTACTATCTCTTTTTCTCCTATAGTGGAATTCATGCCTGCAGATATCCCAAAATATGCCAGGTTCAGTTTGTGGGCCTCTCGTGGTGGCAGTGGTAGCATCACTGTCTTATGTCTGGTGCCCACAAAGTGGCCATGGTGTCAGGATTTGGAGTATGAGTACACATGAAGGGTCAGTGGCTCTAGGGTCTGGGGCAATAGGGACATTGGTGCCTGTCATGCAGGTTCCCTGCAGCAGCATTTGGAATGGTGTGTGAGGCATGGGAACTTCTGAAAAAGCAAGAAAATGAGGTCTGGAGTGTAAATTCATGCAGACCTCAGGAATCTGAGGCAGTGTTGTAGTGGGTCCAGTGTCATGAGTGCACGTGTTTGCCCTAGGATCTGGGGTCCAGAGTATGGGCATGTGAAAATTTACTGTTGCTTTAGAGTCCAGAATGCAAATGCAGCTAGTGTCCATAGGAGATGTTTATGGAATGGCTGTAGAGCTGGAGTTTAAAGTACAGACACATGTGGAGTAAAAGTGGTTCCATGGTCCCTGGTGAAGGCTAGCTTGCTGTGGAAATGACTTTGGTATGAAACATGGGCACGCATGCTCCTGCAACAAAGCTGAGACCTAGAATGTGGGTATGCAAACAGTGTTTGTGTCTCTAGAGTCTGTGGCATGCATGGTTTTGGGTGTGAGTGGTGGCCCTAGCCCTGGGTAGCACAACAGTGGCTTCTTATTGAGGTCGAAGCACAGCAGTGTCTCTCTCCCCAGGAGGTAAAAACAGCAATGGCTGTTGGTTAACTATCTCAGTGGCAAGAGCCAGTACAGTAGTGTTCTCTGTGTCCTGAAGAAAAAAAGGATGAACACTAAGGGGACATATGATGTGAAAGCTATAGGGAGTATGTGGCTGCCTCGAGGACTGTTGAAGTCCTTAGTGGAAAAGGCTGCTAGGATCCTTTGCAGAGCAGGCCACTGGAGACCAAAGGCTTCATTACTGATTCTGCTATTCCCCACCCTTCTTTGTGCCTAGCTGTATCCAGATGTCTCACATATGCCAATCTCCCCAGCAATCTTTGCTGTGCAGTTATTGGTTTTTGCTGTATTGTGTTGCTGTACGTTTTAAATTTGACTCTTGAATCCTTCTAGGACTATTTTTGTTCATGGGTAGATGTCTAATTATTTTGTGCGTGTGAGAGCGAGATAAAAGATAACCTAATCCACCATGTTGCTCATATCATTTATCTCTCCCACTTCCTATAAGGACACCAATCATACTGGATTAGAGCCCACCCATGTAATGCCATTTAACCTTAATTACTTCTTTAAAGACCACACCTCCAATACAGTCACATTGTGAGGTATTGTAGAGATTAGGAATTTACTTCAACATATAAATTTGGGGGAAGGCAAAATTCACTTAATAATAGGTCTGTAAAAAATTCTTCTGCCCTTCATCATGTTTTTTTTCTTATAGTATCTTTGTATTAATGCTGTGGACATTTCCTTTCTGTTTTTTATATTTGAATTAATTTGATATTTTAAATGATCAGCAGGAGATTCTTACCTGTGTGTATTCATGGGGGGTTTCTCAGGGTTGTTTTCAAGTCTTTACCCCTCAAAGGCTCCCTCCATAAAGTATAAAATATTTTCTTATAAAAGTGATTTGGTTAGTAAAAACTGACATTACGCAGTTTTAAAAATTAGATAACATTTATATTGAAATATTTACAAGATCTGTGTGAAAACAGATAATAGTTTCTGGTGCTTAATAATAGCAATCTTATAAAAAATGTTGGGAGGTCATTCCAGGAACATGAAACTATATTTTTATACTTTAGTTTTAAACCCTAGTACTTAAATCTCTTGATAAATGTTCTAGGATAGAGATTTACTTTCCTTTAGCTTTCCAATCTCCATTTTCACCTACACACCCAGTGATTCAAAAACAGGTTTTCCTTGATTAATGTTCTCAGAGAAATTAAATTATTTCTAGATTTTATCCTAAATAATACTATTTGCTATGAAAATGTAAGTAGTATTCTAAAAGCAGCTTAAACATGTATGGTGCAAATATACTACATACATGGTATGATTTTATTTCTGTGACAATTCAGTTTTCCATAATAAATCTATTGCTTATAAAATATTTGGCTTCTAAATTTAATAAGTAATGATTTAAGTATTGGTATAATGAAATTTTCAGAAGGAAATAAATAACTTTTATTTTAACCCATGGGTACTGCTATGGCATGCTTTATAAGAAAAAGAACTGCCTTTTTTTTTGGATGAAATAAATAAAATACTGCCACTCCAAACTTTTAGAAACCAAAACAATGATCAATATTTAAATTATATATTCATACCTGAACACCAAAGAAAAATGTTATTCCCTAGATCTTCTTTAAATTCATCATTAAAGCGGTAACCAGATTCTGGAAATGCTTCATGGAATGTTGCATATATGGCTTGTGCCAAACAATCAGGATATATCTACCAAAATAAAATCATATTAGATTAATTTTATATTTTTAAATTTTAATATATGTCAGCTGTCAAAGAAACTATTTTTAAACTTTGCCTTACAATTTATTAACCAAATAAAAATCTGCCATTTTTAAATTCTAAATTCATAATTATATAAATTAATGTACATCACTATGCCTGAAAGCTAAATTTGAACTGGAATATGTGTCAATGAAGAGAAATGCCACCCTCTCCACTCCCTCCAACAATCTGGAAATTAAATTTCTTTGGTTTCCTCATGATTTTAATTTTTTAGTTTTTAAAACTAGTTATACATTTATTCAACATTTTTATTTTATATTGAAGGGCACATGTGCAGGTTTCTTATATTGGTAAACTGCGTGTTAAGGAGGTTTTGTGAACAGATTATTTCTTTTTATAAACACTAGTACAATTTATTGAGAAAGTAAGTCTCGGTCACAGTCAAGCAGAAGGAGAAGAAGATTAAATTATTGGGTTGCATTGTTTTAAAAATTTATTTTGATTTCAGTAGTTTTTGAGGAACAGGTAGTGTGTGCATGAAAAAGTTATTCAGTGGTGATTTCTGAGATTCTGGTGCACTCATCACCTGAGCAATGTACACTGTACCCAATTTGTAGGCTTTTGTCCCTTATCCTCCTCCCATCCTTCCCTCTGAGTCCCCAAAGTCCATTAGATGTATGGCTCTGCATCCTCATATCTTGGCTCCCATATATAAGTGAGACCATATGAGGTTTGGTTTTCCATTCTTGAGTTACTCCACTTAGAATAATTGTCTCCAACTTCATCCAGGTTGCTGTGAATGCCATTATTTCATTCCTTTTAATGGCTGAGTAGTATTTCATGGTGTGTGTGTGTGTATATGTGTGTGTGTGTGTGTGTGTGTGTGTGTATGTGTATCTGTGTGTGTGTATATACATATATATATATATCACATTTTCTTTATCCACTTCTTGGTTGATGGGCATGTAGGCTGGTTCCATATTTCTGCAGTTGCAAATTGCGCTGCTATACACATGTGTGTGCAAGTGACTTTTTCATATAATAACTTCTTTTCCTCTGGGTAGATACCCAGTAGTGGGATTGGTGGATAAAACAGTAGTTCTACTTTTACTACTTTAAAGAATCTCCATGCTGTTTTCTATAGTTGTTGTATTAGTTTACATTACCACCAGCAGTGTAAAAGTGTTCCCTTTTTACCACATCCATGCCAACATATATTATTTTTGGATTTTTTAATTATGGCATTTTTTGAAGGAGTAAATGGTATCAAATTGTGGTTTTGATTTGTATTTCCCTGATAATTAGTGATGTAGAGCATTTTTTTCATATGTTTGTTGGCCATTTGCATGTCTTTTGAGAACTGTCTATTCATATCCTTTGTATATTTTTAATGGAATTATTTGTTTTTATTCTTCCTCATTTGTTTGAGTTTCTTGTAGTTTCTTGATATTAGTTCTTTGTCGGATGCATAGTTTGCAAACATTTGCACCCACTCAGGAGGCTGTCTGTTTACTCTGTTGGTTATTTCTTTTGTCGTGCAGAAGCTTTTTAGTTTAACTAAGTCCCACCTATTTATTTTTGTAATTTGCTTTTGGTTTCTTGTTCATGAACTCTTTACCTAAGCCAATGTCTAGAAGAGTTTATCCAAAGTTATCTTCAAGAATTTTTATGATTTCAGGTCTTAGATTTAGGTCTACAAGAGGTGAAAGGTATAGGTATATATTGGTTAGGTATATTCCTTATTTATATATATATATATATTTGTATGTGTGTGTGTATATATATATATATATATATATATATATATTTTTTTTATAAATATATATATATTTGCAGGTGTCCTAAAAGGGACTGAGTTCTTCATTTGATTCTCAGCTTGGTTGTTGGTATATAGCAGTGCTACTTATTTGTGTACATTGATTTCGTATCCTCAAACTTTAGTGAATTAATTTGTCAGATGTAGGAGCTTTCTGGATGAGTCTTTAGGGTTTTCTAGGTATACAATCATATCATCAGCAAACAGTGACAGTTTGACTTCCTCTTTACTCATTTAGATGCCCTTTATTTTATTCTCTTGTTTAACTGATCTGGCTAGAATTTCCAGTATGTTAAACAGAAGTGGTGAAAGTGGGCATCCTTGTCTTGTTCCAGTTCTCTGGGAGAATGCTTTCAACTTCTCCCCATTCAGTATAATGTTGGCTGTGTGTTTGTCATAGATGGCTTTATTACCCTGAGGTATGTCCCTTCTATGCCAATTGTGCTGAGGGTTTTAATCATAAAGTGATGCTGGATTTTGTCAAATGCTTTTTCTGCATCTATTAAGATAATCATATGGTTTTTAATTTTGTTTTTGTGATGTATCACATTTATTGACTTGAGTATGTTAAACCATCCTGCATCCCTGTTGTGAAACATACTTGATCATGGTGTATTATATTTTTGATATGCTGTTAGATTTGGTTAGCTAGTATTTTGTTGCAGATTTCCTTCCTTACTTTCTCCAATACAGAATCTCTCTTTCTGTTCTGACACCTAAAGATGTAGGTGGAGTGACACAAGCACTCCTTTGGCTCTCACCGTTATGACTACACTGGGTCAGACCTGAAGCCAGAACTGTGCTGGGTCTCATTGAAGCCGTACAGTAATCACTCCCTGACTACTGTATATGTTTGCTCAAGGTCCTGGGGCTCTACAATCAGTATGTGGCAAAGTCAGCCAGGCCTGTGTCCTTCCCTTCGGGGTGATGAGGTTCCCCGGGTCCCTGGTAGGTGGGTCCAGGTGTGCTGTCTGAGAGCCAGGGACTGTAGAAAATAACCCTTGGAGCTGGCACTCAAACCAAAAGATGCAGTCCTTCCCACTCTTCCCTCCCCTTTCAAAAGGTAGAGTCACCTCACCCTGTAGCCACTGCCACACTATGCCATAAGGAATACTGCCAGACTATCAGTCAATGTTCCCTTAAGGGTCACAGGCTCTTAAATCAGCTTTTGTTGAATGCCGCCTGGCCTGGGACACTACCTTCAGGGAAGTGGGCTCCTCTCTGGCCAGGGCAGGTCCAGAAATGCTGCCCAAGAGTTAAGTCCTGAAATCAGGGACCCCAAGAGCCCACCTGGTGCTCTTCCCACCTGTGGCCATGCTGATACTTGAAGTGAGCAAGCCTCAGTGTCTCACTCACAGCCCTCAATGTAGTACCTGGGTATTGCTGCTAGTTATTCAGGGCCCAAGGGCTCTTCAGTTAGCAGGTAATAATGCTGCCAGGATTGGGGCTGTTCTTTCAAAGCAGTATGTTCCATTTTTGCCCAGGGTGTGTCTAGAGATGTCACTTGAAAGCTACGCCCTGGAATGAGGGCCTCAACTCTGTCTAGTGCCCTATCCTGCTGGGACTGAGATGGTATCCAAAATGCAAGTCAAAGTCCTCCCCACTCTTCCTTCTCCTTTCCTCTAGCAGAAGGGGCCTCTTTTGGAGCTGTGAGCTGTGCAGCCTAGGGTTATGAGAGAGGTGATGTCAGTACTCCCTTGGCTGCCCCTAATAGGGTCTCAATATGTACAAGCACACTTCATTCCACTATCTCTGGACATAGTTCAGTAACAGGCCTTGCTTAAGAGTTGCAGTCCTTATGGCCTAGAGTGCCTTTCAGATTTACCTGGAGACACAGAATTTGTAGCCCTCTGTGGCAAGGTTTGCAGGTTCTCAAGTTCTGACCACTGGGATCCACAATTCTCCTCTGTCCAGGGCTGTTTTAAATGCACCCTCTGTGGGCTGGTATCAGCTGAGTTTGGTTTGGTTTTCCTTTCTGCTCTAACAGGACAACACTGAGTTAACTGCCTCACAATGTTGTGTTCTCCCTTCCCTGGCACCCAGAAATGCTCTCTGCACTACACTGCCACTGCTGCAGATTGGGGAGGGAGAGATAGTGTTGGTGATTCCAGATGGTGTTTCCTGTCTCTTCAGTGCCTCTTTCAGTAACATAAAGCTAAAACCAGGCACTATGAGTACTCGCCTGATTTCTGGTTTTTAAGAAGGTGTTTTCTCTGTGTAGATAGTTGTTAACTTGTGTCCTTGTGGGGGAACAATCAGTGAGGTTTCCATTTTGCCATTTTGCTCTGCCTCTGCTTGTTTTGTCTTAAATTAGAATAGCAACTTCTGCTTTTTTCTGTTTGCTAGGTAGATTTTTCTCCATCCCTTTTCTTTGAGCCTATGGGTATCACTGCATTGGGAGATTGGTCTCTTGACGACACCATGCAGTTGGGTCTTCTTTATTCAACTTGCCACTTTGTTCCTTTTAATTGAGGCATTTACATTCAAGGTTATTATTGATATATGCAGATTTAATCTAGTCTTCATGTTTTTAGCTGGTTATTATGCAGACTTCTTTATGTGATTGCTTTATAATGTCATTGGTCTATGTAGCAGCCAATAAAAATCTTTCCTTTCCATATACTGCACTCTCTTCAGGACCTCTTATAAAGCAGGTTTGTTGGTGGTCAACTCCTACAACATTTGCTTGTCTGAAAAGCATCTTATTTTTCCTTCACTTATTAAGTTTAGTTAGGCTGGATATTAATTCTTGGTTGGAAATTCTTTTAAGAATGCTGAATATAGCTACCCCTCTCCCCCACAAATCTCTTCTGGGTTGTAAAGTTTTTGCTGAAAGGTCTGCTAGCAAATTGATGAGGTTCCCTTTGCAGGTGACTGCCTCTACTTTCTATGCCATTAAAGTTTTTTCTTTCGTGTCAACTGTAGAGAATCTGATAACTATGTGTCTTGGAAATGGTCTTCTTGTATAGTATTTTGTGGTTATTTTTCACATTTTCTGAATTTGAATGTTGACTTTTCCAGCAAGGTTGGGTAATTTTTCATAAACAATATCCTGAAATGTTTTCCATGCTGCTTGCTTTCTTTCCCTCTTTCAGGGATGCCAATGAGTCATATATTTGGTCTCTTTACATAATCCCATATTTCTGGAAAGTGTTCTTCATTCTTCTTC